CGAAAAATTGCCTTATCACCATCTAGAGATATGTCGAATGATAAAGGATCATTGGAATGTCTTCCAATTTATTCATTCCTCTTTCTGAATGAAAAAGGTTCTAGCTTATATAATGCTTATGACCGAAGTGAGGTAGAAGATAAATTAGTTATCAAAATCGACCAAGATGGTGATCATGCCCCAAATTTTCTGTTGCCGATGACATTTCTGAAGTATATGGCTTACCTGGGATTCATGAATGTATTAATGGTCAAAAACCTTTAAGAGCCGTGATTGACATAGATGCTTCGCAAGAAGATATGAAAACAACTGATGTTAAGGCACAAGAAGTATTCTTTCGAATCTGCCTATCTTTTATAAGAGCCTTGTATTGAATTCTTGATTGTAGCTGGGAAGACATTCTTAATGGATTAATAATCGCTACATCATCGGACCTTAGCAAGTGTAGCTACCATATTTTATATGCACCAGCTCTTCTTATTGATCATCATGAGCTCAAAGTATTTACTGAATTAGTATATACTATAACCGGTGAAAAATTCGGTAGGTTTATCGATCGGAAATTACCTGGTCAAAATTTTAACCTTCGCCTTATTGGTTCAGCAAAAAAAGGTCGTGTAAAGCGCATTCTTCAATTCTCTCTAGATAATGGCTGGAATGAACTCAATCATGTTAGGGTTCAACCGCCTTCTAGTTTAAGACTTAAAGTAAGGCCTCGGATGCTTAGTGAAGAAAAAAATAATAATCCACTAAGAATAATCGTAGGTCAGGATGTATTGCAAAAATGCGCGAAACTTGTTTTGCAAAAACATTCTAACTATCTTAGGGATTGGACTATCGAAGAAAAGGATGAAGAAAACTTTGTATATTTTAACCGGAAAGGTCCACTAGAATGCCCACTGTGTAAACGTATACATGACAAGGATCAGCGGTGGTTTGGTCGTGTATATGCCAGCAGTGGAACATTCATTGTAAAATGCTTTCGGCAAGATAGTGATGAACCTGGAGAAGTTTTTGAATGCGACTCATCTATCGCAGAAAAAATTAGACAAGAAAATAAAAATTCTCCACAATCATCTAACAAGGTAAAAGCCCCCAATTTTCCTAAAGCCTTTGTAAAATTCCCATCTTGGGTCAAGTATAATGAACCCTTTACAGCAACAGAAACATATGAGAAGAGGTATATAAAACCATTATCCAATGAAGGTGATATCTATGTTAGATCACCTTGGGAAACAGGAAAAACATATGTTCTTGAAAATCTGGCTATTCCTGATGATGTAAATTTGCTTGTATTATCTACGTGTCACTCTTACTCGAATACTATTACTACACGACTTAATCTTAAATCATATTGCGATATTGATGGTAATATAAATCTACCTGATCATAAGAGGGTAGTGTGTCAGATAGAGAGTCTACATCGCATTATCAATAATTGCAAATGTGATAAAAAGTGTAAATGTTCTCCAAGCCAATATGATTTATGGCTTGATGAAATAGTATCTATAATTGCTCAGGCACAAAGTCGTTTAGCGGGACAATCAATAGAGAAACTATATAAACTAATTCAAGAAGCGAGACGCATTATCGTTATGGATAATGATCTTACTGATCTTAATATCGAATGGATTAAGACCCTTCGTAAGGATAAACTATTCTCTATTATCCACAATACTTACCAGCCTCAGAAAGGTAAAACATTCCGCCTAGCTCCTAATAAAGAGTCTATATTAGTCGAACTCTGGGATTGGGCCAAACAGACTTCCTTGTTACCTTTTGAGAATCGTAAAAGTGCATCACTTATTTGCCATCTTAGAAAAGATCTACAAGGGATTATTCGCGCTCTCAAGACTGAATTTCCAGAACTAAAAATCAAGGAATATCACGGTAAATCTGATCCAATAGAAAAAGCTCAAGATTTCAGCAACGTAGAAGAATCATGGAAAGAGATTGACCTAGTTGCTTATACCAGCACTTTAAAAATAGGAGTATCTTGCATTAATCCTAAGTTTGAACGAGCATTTTGTATCTTTAATAGTTATATAGAAACGAATGCTGGAACGAATCAGATGCTATTTCGCATGCGATGCATTAAGGATTATATATGTTATATCGAACAAAGATCATCTAATGTTCCCATTACAGAAAAAGGATTATTTCAATGGTTACTGAAGGCCAAACGTGAATGCCTCCCTCGTGAACTTCAAAATAGAGGGGTTTTTCCAGATGTAGATTCTATTATCCGGAATAAAGATGTGCCAACTATTCGATTGTGGGTAGCATATATGTTGGAAAATTTCCGTTTCCGATATTTATTTGGTTGGAGGATGGTTGATTTTCTCCGAAAGGCAGGTATGGTAGTTTCTGTCATAGAATTCGTTCCTAAACCTGAAGATATTATGATATTGCTATCCCAAACAGTGAAGACGAGTTCTTCTATTGTTAAAGCAGAGGAGATATCGAATATATCTAATGCTTCTATTGTCAACCATGAGACTGCTGAATTATTAGAGAATAAGCCAAAGAAGACTTTAGAAGAGACGCGCTCTTTAGACCGGCATCATATTGTGGATTGTTATGAGATACCACCTGAAACATTAACCGAAGATTTTATCT